TTGATTTTATACTTTTTGGTGTAAATTTCCCTTTAAGAAACTGACTGCAAGTCCAGAGAAGCCAAGTGTGGGGACAGGAGTGAGTAGAGTCTCCCTCCTTGGAAAGGTAGAATTGTAGGGTGCTTGACACTCACTTAACCAGTCCTTTCTTTAAACCAACTTGTTAGAAAGTGGCTGTCTTTATTTAATTAGTGTGAGTTGGCTTAGATAACAACAGATAAAGAACTGAGCCTTTTCTGTAAGAGCCATGCTTTGGGGAAGACATGTCAGAGACATAATTAGAGTGAAGGAGGAGGCCAAGGAGAGGGGTGAGAGACAGAGGCCAGAGAGACAGGGAACACCCACACCGCCCTCTTAGCCTCACCTCAACTGCCTCCCAGGCAATGCACAGGTCTGTTTTGGTCATGGCAAGTCCCCACTGCACCAGCAGCTATGTGGACTCCTTCAACCCAAATAACGGAAAAACTGGAGTTTCCAGTCACCACCGTGTATCCTTGGCTTCTAAGTGCGATCACGAAGCTGAAATGGTAATGCCCAATTGTTGTTGTGAAAGGAGAGCCAACGGTGTCTAACATCCAGGAGGTGGGAAGAAGCCGAAGAGTATGGCTGATGGCTGGGCTAGGAAGCAGGTCTTGAAGCTCACGCATTTGCTTCAGAAGGTTCTAAGCTGGCTGGTGGCAGCTGTCATGGTGTTACAGAACTTGGGAGGCTGAGACGGGATCAGGAAAGAGGTCCAGACCATCATGGATGAAGTAAGGGCCTGCTTCAAAACACACAAAAAAAATCAAATGAGAGTTTGAGAGAGTTCTTTAGCCTGTATCGACCTTTACTGAGGCTCCTTGTACACTTGTACATAGGTAACCCCCATCTATGAAATCGCTGTCTTGCTCTAGAACACCCGTATATTTACAATGACTGGCCTAGTTAGGTTTCTATTGCTTTGATAAACACAATGACCAAAGCGACTTGGGAAGGAAGGGTTTACTTCAGCTTACAGTTCTAGTTTATCACAAAGGGAATCCACGCAGGAACTCCAGGCAACAAGAGACCTGGAGGCAGAACCTTAAGCAGAGGCCGCTGAGGAGCACTGCTTACTCGCCTGCTTATGGGTTTTCTTATACAACCCAGAACCATGGGCTCAGAGAGAGCACCTTCCCTGTGGGCCAGGCCCCCTCATATCAGTCACTAATCGGGAAAATGCTCTGCAAACTAGTCTACAACCAAGTGGAGGTATCTTCTCAACTGGGTCTCCCTCTGCTCAGACTGACTCTAACTTTTATCAAGTTGACAAAAACAAAACAAACAAAAAAATCAAGCAAACACCAACAACAAAACAAACAAAAACAAGGAAACCCTAGCTAGCACAATGACCAATGCCACCTGCCTACTCCTTGTGAGGGAGGCCCCAGGCACACTTGCCAGGCCTAGCGCAGAGGTGACTCAGCTCCTTAGACTGTACCATCTTTTGCTACCAGAACAATGGGTTTGTAGTTGTCTTCCCAGCACAAGGCTACAAAGGGGGAAGCTGGGCAGCTCTTATTTTCATTCCTTTCAGGATTTTTCCCCTTTGAATCACAGCTAGGGTAGCAACCCACACTGTGGGGCACCGTGGTGGAGTCTTATTCTGTTCAACCAATTTCAATTTTCAGCCAAGTGTCTGTTCCCTGCTGAAGGTACTGTCAACTCCAATCCTGGTGGCACCAGCCCACGTGCCAAGATAAAGGATCACACTATGGTCAAGTACTTAAAGGCAACAGTTGCGGCACCTGAGACTCCTTTCCATGCAGAATTGTGTCCTGGACTCTTCCCGTGACCAGGTTCCCTTCTCTCGGATAGTACAGCAATGATGCTGATATCTAGTGTGTTCTTAGATGCCAGGCATTATTGTCACCCCAGTGCGGTGTGAAGTAGTTCATTGTCATCTCTCCAGAACCTGCCTTGCAGTTGCTTTGATTGTCCCTCATCCCATCCGAGGGAGCTGAGAGTGGAGGAAGCTTGCTAACTTGCCCAGTCAGTTTCCCCCATGGCGTCAGGAGAGGGTTCCCCTGAACCACTCACAGGGTCAGTTGAACAGCTGGATTCTGGAGTCAATCAGAGTGGCTTTTCCTTGGAGGCCAGTTTTAGGAGGCTTGCACAAAAGCCACTCCAGTGACCTCTGAGTAGACATCTGGGAAAGAAAGACAATGGTTGTCCCCAACTTTTCATCTTTGTTAAAAAAAAAAAAACAGACCATTATTTTATGTGTAGCCGGATATTTTGCCTGCATGTGTGTATGTGCACACATTGCCCAAAGAGGCCAGAAGGGAGCAATGAATCTCTGGGAGTGGCAGCTAGAGATGGTTGTGAGGCATCCTGTGGGTGCTAGGGATTGAACCTGGGTCCTCTGGAAAGCAGTCAGTGCCCTATCTCTGCAGTCCTGGGGGATGGCCCTCTCGACCCAGCAGTGTGAGCCTCTTCAACGTGGTGAGTTCTCAGTTTCCTTTCTGCTGTCTCCTCTGACTGTGCCTCCCCCTCTTTCTTTATAAGCAGTGGTTTGAGCACAGGGATGAGTTTCTTCTCACTGAATCCAAGCAAATTCTACTCAGCAAAACATTGCTCATATTTCCCAGCTTAAGGAAAGACACTTGGTCGGGTTCTTTTTTTTTTTTTAAATCATGACTCTTTAATAAAGATTTAATATTTACTCAGAATTGCTTCAACTAAAGAAGATTAGTTAGGAAACCATGAAGGGATGCCAGATCTCCTTTTATTCATTACCTCACCGTTTATGAGAAATACATATTTATAGTACACGCATTTTGTAATTTTGGAATCTACCTGATTAGTTTGCATACTGGGTTTAATTTCGTCAGGTTTACCAAAAATCCTGCTGCTAAAGCGAGCCTAAATCTATTAAATATTGATGTGGGCTTTGCCAGGTAGGAGTCTTGTTAATATCGCAGCTTCATAAGGCACTCTGACATGAGGTGACTTAACTCCTCAGCTAGAGTGGCTCTGCTTACTCTCAGACAGGAGGACTGAGAGGGGTTTTTGAACTTGATATTAGCCAGTTTCTTGTACCACGGGGATGCTCGTGAAAGGAAAAAAATGGGCCAAATTAAAACTGGCCTGTGGGTTTTATTTTTTATTTCCTGTAGCTAAAAGTGTATAAGTTGAACTGCGCTAAATAAAACACAATAATTTGTTCTTGAAATTAGCAAGCACACGTTCCACCCATAAAACCACTGCTCTGTGATGTAAGACTGGATTTCATTTCAGTGGTCTTGATTTATTGTTTGGTTTGTTTTATTTGGGGGGGCGGTGGGGATAAGACGTGTGCAGGACAGATCTATTAAAATGGCCGACAAGAACAGATTTGCAAAGGTTTATTAATCCTTGAAATGTCTGAGTCAGTGAGTTGAGGACATTCAAATGCTGGGGAAAAAAATTTAGAGGTCTTAAAAATGTATATGTGTAGCTTGAACCAAAAGGTTTGGTGAGAGTTCAGAAAGGCCTTCTCTCTTCCCCTATCTGTTTTACTGTCTGCTGTAAAGCCGTTCTGCAGGTGCTCGCCTTTAGTACTAAAGGGACAGCCTGTGTGCCTCACAAGATAGAACATGGTGAATTGGGAAACATGGGCTGGCCTTGGCAGAGCCCAGACACTGCCTAACGGCCCTCATTCACCAGGCTCCTCTGTACACAGCTGTGCCACTGACAGCAGTGGGCACACCTGGAAAAAGTGGTAAGCAAACAGTTGGGTTGGAAGGAGGAGCCAGGGACCTTTGGGGGAAGTTTTAAATTCTTTGGAAAGACAGCGTAAAGACAAGAGCTGTCAGAATAGCTCAAAAGAATCTTGGCGAATAGGGAAACAAAGATATCTTACCAGTGGTGATTCCATTCCATTTGAGTAGACACAGAAGATAGATTTCTGGGTCATGTGGCAGTAGTAAACATATAGATGGAATCTGAATGACCCCTGATGACTGGGGAAACTGTCAGAGAGCTGGAGAGAGGGAGACAGGGAGACAGGGGGAGCTGGTATATTGGTTGACATAAGCTTCAGACTGCTTTCAGACCCAGACACCACCTCACTGCCCTGCCAATCAAATAATTTCATTCTTTGCTGCAGTGAGAACTTGACAGATGTCAAGAGCCTACGACTAAAAGGCTGAAGAGCAGACCAGTTTTAGCTTTGAGATTGTTGCAGGAATCCAGTTGACAACACAGTCACTTTCCCTGGGGTCTACTCTTCTTTGGATCCACTTTTCACGACTTGGGTTTTACGTGGCATCGGAATGTCTGCCAGTAACTCAGGCCCAGTGGAAAGAATGCTGACTTCTTCCCCCAGGATGCTCAGTAAAAATACCATTGTATCTTGTCCTTGGTTGGATCACTTCACCATCTTGAACCAATCAAATGGCCCCAGGAATGAATGTACTGAAGTTCAGGCCCAGGTCCCAGACTTTCTTTTGAAGTCAGGAGAAGCACAAGATCTCCCTAAGTATGAGAATTGGGAGGAAAAGATCCCCTGGGGAAGAAGGTTATGGAAAATGCCTGGAAGAACTGAGAAGCCGGCTGGCTGTTCTCTACAAAGCAAGATAGAAGAGCAGAAAGTCCCAGGGCCAACTCTTTGAGCCACCGTTGCTGCCCCAGGTTGGGACACAGAAGTCAAGCCTTTGGAGAACTCCCAGAAATAACTGAAGAACACTGTGAAGGCTGGGAGATTGAAACTGCTGGCGTTTGTGTTTAAAAGTGGAGTGTTGATTCGCCTTCCAAAACAAGTCCTACTGGGCCAGTTGATTACGCTGGAAGCTCTCTCGAAGACTCATGTCACTTATGACAGAGTTTTATAAACTTACGCAATAAGTTCCCCACATTGATCTGTTTAAACTGACTGTGGTTTGCTCTAGTGAAGTTGTAAAAGATTTCATTCTGGAAGAAATACAAAGTTACAGATTTACTCTTAGGGCAGTGAACTTGAAATTTCCCAAGGCTGTAGCAATAGCTGAGGTCAGAGGGCACCCGTCTTTCCCTCTAGTGTCCTCAGCTGCTGCCACTTCTCCATTTCTCCTGGGCATGGCTTGGTTTCTTCTCTGCTCCTCACACTGCCAGAGGTTGGTCAGTTCTATCTATGTTTGTAAAAGCCTACTTCGGTTTTTACAAGTTATTTGTAGTATCATATAAATTTTCTAGATCAACCAATTTTGACTTTGCTTTTTATATAATTTCTAATCCAACTTTTTAGTTGATTTTACACGTATTTTCCTATTTCCTTAAGCTGTATGTTTAACTTCCTTCTTTTCTTATTTTAAATAAAATTTTCATTGCGTGTGTGTGTGTGTGTGTTTGTGTGTGTGTGTACATGTGTGTATGTAGGTAGCTCACATGTGGAGGTCGAATTATGACTTCCAGAAGTAAGTTCTCTCTTTTCACCATGCAGGTCCTTTGAGGATCAAGCTCACACTCATCAGACTTGGCAGCAGGCACCTTTACATGCTGAGCCACAACATTACCTAGCTCACTGATTTTCTTCCTTTAAAAAGTCGTATTTCATTTATCCTGTGTTCGTGGAGAATATGAGGATATTGCGGTGTGGGGGGGTGCATGCCATGATGCACTCAAGTGGAGGTCAGAAGACAACCTGCAGGAGTCAGTCCTCCCTTCTACCTCGTGGGTCTCAGGGACTGATCTTGGATCTTAAAACTTGACAGCAGACACCTTTACCTGGTCACCCACCTCACAGCCTCTTTCTCATTTCCTTCTTAAGAAAACTATATTTTCATTGGAATATGAAATGTTTGTCTTCAGGAGTCACTTTCTGTTCATTTCCAGGCTACTGTTCATTCAATTTTATTGTTTTCTTTGTTGGAAATAATAGGAAATATGTTTGATATTTTTTCTTTGCATTATCAAAGTAGATTTCGTTCTTTATCTTCTTGTTTATAGGCTTTTCTCACTATTCTAAGAGACTATAACCTATCTGGGTTGACATTTTGCATTTTTGCACTTGTATTTTGACCAAAAAATTGCCAAGTTTTTATAAATAAATAATGAAATTAAGAGAAGAGCGAATCTTTGTAGCCTATCTTATAGAAGCGCATATTCTACCATACACGGGAATGCCATACACTGTGTGCTTGAGAGAACACACTTCTCCCATCGACCTTTCTATCATGATTTTTCTTCTGCCAAAGCTGATCTGTGGGATCACAGTGAACTAAAATTCCTCACTATAGTTATGGTTTTGATCAAACTATTCTCACATGGATAAGAGTTTTGTATTGAGCTATTTTACTGATTTTAAAAAAAAACTCAAAGCACACCATTTTACCTATGATAGGCTTTGGCCGCGTTTTGTACCACTTTATCGGACATTAATTTTTCTGTTCTAATAACAGCAAGATTCATTTTTTTCTGTATTTAACCTATATAGCAATAGCTATCATTATTTATTTACCTATTTATTCTAGGTATATCTTTTATAAATGGTACCCAGCATGATTCTGAGATTTTGTGTTAGACTGTTTTCCCAACTTTAACTGATCTTTGTTTTTGAAATTTTATTTTTAATTCTAAAAGTTTATTTTGTTTGCTTTTTATTGAAAAACAGTAATTCATACAATATATTCTGATTATACTTTTCCTCTCCCCTAATTTTTCAAAGGTTCTCTCTACCTTTCTACTCACCCAACTCCAAGCCCTTTTCTCTTTAGAAAGAAACGCACACACACACACACACACACACACACACACACACACACCTCACTCAGAAAAAAAATATACTAGCAAACATGAGCAATAAGAAAAAATGCCTAAAAAGCAATATGAGACAAAAAGCCTACAAGCATACCATTGAGTTTGTTTTGTGTTGACCCCACTTCTGGGGATGAGGCCTACCCTGAAGTGTGGTTAAGTCTCCAATGAGACTCCACTGGAGAAAACTAATGCTTTCCTTTGCAAGTAGATACAAATCATTAAATATTGTATGTGAGTAGGCTTCTACGTCTGTTTAAAACACTTTTATGAATTGATATATATATATATAGTATTGATATATATATATTTACCATATTGCAATGTACATTTCTACCTCTGATTAAGAAACTTATATATTGTTTATGTAATGATATACATTGTTTAGATTTGGAGGTCATTGTCCTCATTTATTGCACAGTTGTTTATTCTCTTAGCCTTCAAGTTAGATAGATATTGAGAATTATAAATCAATAGTCATATATGTTTGTCATATTTATATTTAGGCTAATCAGGTTCTTTTGATACATAGAGATTATATTTAATATAGATAATATAATCTTCAACCTTTTCAAAGAGTTGTAGAAAATGGCCTTTAATCTAAACTAGAGTTCTATGGTAGTGAGACACCATCACTCCTGGCAACACTGCTCTACTCCCGAGAGAATATTGAGCACCAAAGACGCTCCAATTGGAGCTTGTCTTCTTGGTAGAACCGGCCTTTGGGCAAAGAAAAGTCCATACTTCGACCACTGACAGAGATACAGATTATCTGTAAATGGATAAAAACAGGATTGTCTTATCCTGCCAAGACAAGGTAAGATAATTCTAAAAAGTTTCTTACCTTTGAAAATGGCATGTCAGTTACGTTAGGCCTTAGCCAAAGTTGTTGCCTCAACATTGCAGATGAGACTTTGGGTGATTGCCCAGGTAGTCAGTTGTCTCTATCGTTTGTTGCACATTTTGGAAGTTTCTTGTTGGTACTTCCTGGTTGCTCAAGTAATATTACTTCCCTTTTCAGATTTTTGATGGAGTTAAAGATTAGATAATTGTAGTTACCCTCCTCATGATTTATCTAAACTTAATTTCAATACATTATTTAAACTCCTTGAAATAGAATGCTTAATAAAACTTTTGTTATTTGTTTCTTGCTTAATATTGTTTGTTGCTTATAATTTTATATTTGGTATCTGTTCCTATTGTATATAGTTGTAATGGGTTTGGTCTGATCTTGTTTAGACAAAACGGGGAAGAGATAGCTTCTTGGTTAGGAGTGTGAGGCCATGTCCACTTCTTCCTCTCTATGCTGTGAACCCATCTGACTTGAACCTGTGTAAACCCTTGCATGCTTGCACAGTCTCTGTGAGTTCACAGTTGTCTCAGTCCTATTGTGTCTGAAGGACACTGTTTGGAGTCATCCATAACCTCTGGCCCTTACAACAGTTCTGCTTCCTTTTTCCACATAGGTTCCTGAGTCTTAAGGGAAAGGTTTAATGAAGACTCATTTTAGGACCGAGTGTTCCAAAGTCTCTGACTCTCTGCACATTTTTCCATTCTGGATCCTTGCTATTCTCATCAACTCCAAGGAGAAGTTTCTCTGATGATAAGAGTGAGACATTGGTCTATGGGTAAAGCAGAATGTCATCAGGAGTTATTTTATCATTATGTTCCTTTAGCAGAACAATAGTATTTGGTTTTTCACTAGGTCTATGACCTATTTAGTCTCAGATTCCTGGCCATCAAAAAGCACTGTCAGGTATGGGTTCCATTTCCTGGAGTGGGCCTTAAATCCAATCAGAGTGGTTGGTTATGCTCTCAATGTCTGTGCCACTATTGCACCAGCATGCTTCTCAGACAGGTCACTGTTTTCGATCACAGGTTTGTAACTGAGTTGATGCTATCTTCTCCTCTGATAGCATGCAGAGTACCTTCTAGTAACACGAATGATAGCTAGTCAGTAGGCGTGGCCCTGTAGGAATGCATCAACTTGACTTTTCTGTGTTCAATGACATATATAAGTGTTATCTTCAGCAATAGGGCCTTACCATTAGTTTGTGAAGAGCACCAATAGCCTCGGCAGTAGCCTATGTTTCGGGTTGTCCATGGGGTCCCTTTTACCAATGACTCAATAAGATGTTTCTCATTTCTGGCACTGGAGGTTTTTCTTGGTGGCATAATATGTCTAGTTGGGGCATTGTCTACCCCGATATTGGTGACTTCATTTATTTCTTTCATATATGTCTATATTTTAGGAAGTTTCTTCAGCAGCAGGTTTCTATATGGTCCCCCAAATGGCCCTTAGTGTTTAGTTGTTCCTCCCCATATTTATTTCTTGTCCCTCTCTTTGTCTATTAATAAGAAAATAATTCATATTAATTATGATTTCTGATATGTTTGACATGATATCTTCTATATTTTTATAAATTCCCCCTTTAAGATTCTTAAAATAGTTCTCTAAGTTCAGTATTTTAAATATTTCTTTCTATTTCTTTGATAGAAAAATTCTCCTGTGTAATACACACACACACACACACACACACACACACACACACACACACACACACAC